AATATATTCGTTATATATATACATCATGTTATATATATATATACATGTATTCAAAATGGCTGATTTTGAATGCTGTTCCAGAGCAATATCTCTCAATATGGACAAGTACTTGTTTGACGATCAGATACAAATGTCAATCATCTAAAAAAATCATATTCCTGACATGGTTATATTCCAGCTATATTACTATAAACAAAACTATTTATTCTAAATTTGATAACTAACGGGGACTGTGCTATGCATGGCTTGTTTAATATGTAAATCACATGCACTCCAGGTAGATTCCAACTGTCCTTCCAGAGTTGAAAACAAGTATGACCTGTCAATCACCTTTATGACAGTTATCACACGGCAATGCCCACCGTTCTTCCCATGACTTCATGCACACTTCTATTTGCAGGCTTTGAGGTAATTTTGAGTAATGTAAATTTATTGGCAGTTGATGCTGATTATTGGACTAAAAATGTGACATGTTCAGTCCTGATGAGGGGGCAATGTCAGCATCCATTATTCTATGTTTTTGGCATATTTATATATTAAACACATATTTTCCATGAAACGCTTAGGTCAGCTTCCTTAACACCAAGTCACAATCCCTCCTCCTAAAATCACTCTTCAACAGGTATTGAATAATCCTTGTTCACTTCAGTAAACTTTCTTCACCAATTTCTAGTTCTGGTCTCCATAACTCTGGGTATATAAAGTTCAATATTTTGATGTGTTCTTGCATGCATGGCTACCAGCGCCATTTCCAAGACGTATTCCCTCAATACTGCATGTGTAAAGAACAGTGTTGGTTGGATCAGTAAGTTATTTTGGGGTGGGTGTAGCATGGAGCTTTATGTGTGTAGCTCACTGATCCTGCATTGAAAGACATATTTTTTTGTTCATACATGTAGTATTATAATGCTGGACATTGCCTTCAAGGATAAAATGTATCTATACCGCATAGCAACCATGATCACATCCATAGCAACCAATTCAAAGCAGGATGATTCTTTATCCCTTCCTTTCATTTTGACATAAAGCAAATACTTTCTACAGAAATTGTTAATGTTTGATGGTACATCGTAAAAAAGGTATTTTTTTAAGGCAACTAGCATGCATTCTGTCTTATTAGCAGTTTTCTTTCCAGTGCAGTATATTTGACAGATTATACAATGATCTTTAGATGGTACACCACATGTAACATCATCTTTATCTCGATAATGGAAAATACTGCATATTCTTATAAATAAATGCATCTCACCTCAGGCCAGAAGTGTTACCATGGTGATATCACAAACATGGTATTTTGTCAGTTACAATGTTGCTAACAGCAGAACACACTGAATAGCAATTGTCTAATGTTACTTTCAATGTTTTAAACTGTAAAATTTCGCTGATATAAATGTCAATGATTCTATCATAGAAGGTAATTTTCAAGGACAAATGAGTTCTTGTCTTATTGCAAAAACACTAGAGAACACTGGGACAGGACAACTGCAGCATTTTCTTTTATGTACCATCTTTATAGAACATTTAGCCTTCAATGTTACATTAGCATACTCTAAAATAGGATATGCTATTCTGTTGTGAACATATTCACATAAACATCAGTTATATAAACTAAGTAAAAGAGGGCTAGGAGTGCATACAGAAAGAGACGACAGTGAGTTTATGTTGATGCTGTCAATCACTACCGGTACTACTATTATTAGATATCATCTAAATCAGACAAATATGCGTTTTTGGGATGTAAATCCTATCTACCGGGACTGAGTTTTTCATCAGGTTTCATATGATACCTTCTACTTCCAAATTTGTTTGTCCCCTCTTTGTATTGTGGGAAAATGTCAAATGATGCCTGATTAATTCTAGTATCAGTGGGGGTGGCACAGAGGGGGTTTCGAAAAACTTAAGTGAAACTTAAATGAAGCTGAAACCATTTGTGTCGATAGGACACAGTTGAAGAGGAATGCCCGTCTTGCCCCTCAAAATGCAGGAAATAGCGTTTCAGAGGGTCTAGATTTCAATTGGGATGCTGAGCAGATCTTGCCCCTCCCCCATGCAAAATTGGGTGTCGCCCCCTCTGAGTATTCTACCTTCAGCCCTCTTAAAGCCTGGTACGCTAGGCTAGATTCTTCAACACTATAGCTATGTGCTCTAGCCTGCGTGTCAGTTTGGTGACAAATATTTTGAGCTAGGAAGTATTTTTGCACTGTGTTTTGATGGAGGGAAATCGGAGATCAGCAAGTTAGAAATCACCCCATGTGCTTCAGTTCGTGTTACTTTGCCACTGTTACTTATGTGCCAACTGTCATGCATGCGAATCAATTGCAAATCTGATGTCTGGAAGTTGAATGATAAGAGATGTAGGAGAACTGCCATTGTTGCTGAGGAAGCATCTGCCCGTAAATTAGAAAGTTTGTAATACCAAATGTTGTGAAGGTAATTTTTCATCAGGCTTTTCTGCATCTTGTCAATCTTTGATGGATTCGGACTCAAATTGTTCTGTTTCACCATTATGAAATGTTGATCTCATGCTGCGTCACCGCCTTGTGGTGAACCCTCCTTTGGAAATCGCCATTGATAATACTTCTGTTCCAAGATTTCTGTGTGTCATTACCTGTCTGAGGTTCAGTACTGCCTACAATTAATTTTGGTTTGCTTGCCATCTCACAGATCTAAAATTGGCTGGTAATTCTGAAAAAATGATTTACATGTATTTGAAAGGATGAATTGACCACCAATCTGCAAAATATGCTGATTGGTAGCTGAGGTCACCAGCTAGCACGGCGCTCTGCACTACCTTTGCTGTGACTCAACATTACAGGGAAGTAAAACCTGCATTGGAAGAACACTTCACACTATTACTCAAGTCCGTAATAGAGAACCCGCTACCTGAAGAATTATCTGAGGGAAAAGATGATGCTGGGTCTGTGACTCCACATAGGAAGTGGTCATTTGAAAATGAATACAACAGACTGGCTAATGTACTGCTGCTGGGCAACTCGTTCTGGAAGCACTTGGGGTCCAGACATGCACATTAAACCTGATTACCGTATTAAACCTTGTTTGTATCCTTCACCAGTCTGAATCAGCTGTCGATGCAGTTTCCTGCATGTCAAGATCAGACAATGTGCAACACAACTTGCTACACAGTCATCAATAACACTACACCAACTGATGAGCTGGCTGTGAAGAGTCTGTTGCCACATGCAACACTTGGACTCGAGTCAGACCTATTCAGCTACTCCAGTTGGACATAGAAAAGTCCCTGGGAGATCCAGTCCCACAGGGTATCTACCTGGACCTTTTCGTCAGATTACCTGATGAGTGTCGGGTAGCCCTGTGGTGAAGGACCATTCCTGACCACCTGTTGATCAGGATGCCCTCCATTCTACCTCATTCAACCATCTCATTTGTGACGTACACTTTGGATGCAGGTTTGTGGGAGCACAATTCAACAAACTGTCTCTTACTTCAAGGAGTGGGGAAGGAGAGACAGAGTTTCTGCCTCTCTTTCCTGAGAAAATCATTGGTCATCCATTCTCATTGCATAATCAATAGCAGATTTTAACGATTGCGGGTGTTTTTAAGTCACAGTGTCAAATTGTACCCACACTCGCAAAAAAAATTGTAATACTACCGATACTGAGAAAATAGAAGAACTGGTTGAAATGTTTGAAAGCTGGCTGCATTATTGTAATCAACGTGCTGATCATGTTTACATATGAAAGGATTGTAACAGCCACCTCTGTTTTTGAGTACCGCCCTCCAATAATGGTAATATGTTGGCTTAAAGTTAGTTACCAGTGTAATTACAGAAATGTTCCTAACAATATTGATTTTCATTATGTGGGATATGCTCTGAATTTCTGCCACATCTACCGGGGTATGTACAATTAAAATGTATTATGTTCATTTAAGTATAAACATTTTGTAATTATTTGTTTTTGCACATCTGGTTTATTATTTAACCAGCTGTTACTGTTTTATTTTAGTTTTGTTTAAAATTTTATTGCATCTGTGTATATATATGTTTTGGCCATTTGTGGTTCAGTGGTTCATTTATATAATCAGCAGTCCCTGTATTGCTCCACAATGCACTGTTTTATACATACAGTATATATATATATTGAGACAACATATGCTATTCCATTTTCATAAAATCTATTGTATTCATATATAGATATCCATGTAGGTTCTTATGTTTAGTAACTAGGCAACCAATAAACAATTCATAATTCTTCAAATTTGTGTATTTGAGTCATAATCAATTAGATTGTGTGTTCTATGGATGTTGTACCAGACTTTATGTACCAGTTTAATAGTGTGTTGTTCTTGAAGCAGTTTGTTTTTACTTCATGTCTGAAATGATTTTGTTGGTGGATCTTACTGACAGTGTTCATCGTTGTATCTCGGACATACCTCATTTAAACGTGGTATTATCTGTATTCATGGAGGTTATTGATGCATGTCATCTATTTTTGTGGTTTGATTCAAAATTTAGGAATAAACCTACCTATTTCAAAAAAGCAAGACATGATATAAATAAATATATATATATATATATATATAAAATATATGTTTTTAAAATTTTATGACAACTATGCTCTGTTCTCAGGGTTTTTTCAGAAGGAGTGTAGAGGAACGTAATTGTGGTGACTACAAATGTAAGAAGTCTAAGTCCTGTATTATTACTAAAGATACCAGAAGTTCTTGCCAATATTGTCGCTTTCAGAAGTGTTTACAGGTGAAAATGGATAAAACAAGTGAGTATTTATATTTTATCTCGGCACTTCTACGTTTTGTTTAATTTTACGTGAACATTCAAAGTCAAAGTACTTGTGTTAGAATTCGAATTGGTTGTCTATATAATGAAGTAACACATTGTGTAAGGCTGAAAAAAAACATTATGATTCTGTTCAGTGTGCGCACAAAATAAAAAAGTGTGAACTGTTTTTTTTTTTTGTCACTTATCTCGCTCCAACACAGCGCCCTCTGTTGATGAAGTAATGACACCTTCAGAATTTGTGTACCATAGAATATGTTTGTAAAAGAAAAAGAATTGACCAGAAAGATTTTTTGAATTTGTTATGGTGCCCAAAGTGTCTGTCATGGGTTAAGCAGTACCTCCAATCTTCTTGTTGGCTTTTCTAGACTAAGACATACTGGTAATTTTATAATATGCTGTTATCCAGATAAAAAAATTGTGGTCACCAACTTTAACGTGTTAATTGTTGAATGTTACAAATGTGTGTGTGTTTTTTTCTTTGCTTTGTTTTAGAAATCCGAATGGGGAGGCAACCAAATCATGTGAAGCATATGATCCTGTCAAAAAAGCAAACTGAAGATGGTAATTACTCATTTATTATATTTTCTTTAAACCATAACTTCTTTTGATAGGTTGTATTTAATGCAATAAACATTTCATAGTCTTTAGTAAACGCACTATAAATTTGTAAGAATATGTTATTTCAAAAATAACAAATTGTGACATTATTCATGTTGTTAGTTTCACTGGTAGTTTTTCTAAGAACAAGGTGTCTAATATAATTTTTTTTTTTAAAAAAACACATTTTTTTTTTCATTTACATTGAAATTGAAATCACACTTTTAGTGATATCATTCAGCATTATGATTTTGTTGATATCCTCTTTGACCTTTCAGATTGTCAACTCGTGCATCAAACATATCATGGCAGTGGTCAAATTTTGTTCAAGCAACCAAAAACTATTACTCGTGATAAACCTTAATTGAATCATGCTCACTTTACATATTATTACCAACCAAATGGTGATGCTTATTTCAGACCAGGTCAATGAGTTTTGATTTTGGCTCCTTGATACATAAATTAGTACTTAATGGTTATTGTTGTTAATTTATTATATCTAGCTTCTCTTAAAAAAAAAAGGGCAGAATTTTACATTGAAGAACAAATTGGAATAATGACAATTGTAAACTGCAGTTAGATACTCATAATTTCCCATTATTATTTCAGGTCCTACATCACCAAGCAACAGCCTTGGATCTCCCCAATCTAACTATTCACCAAGTTTTTCAGAAACTATATCATCGGTATCATCACCACCTTGTACCTTGGATCATGACAGCACATCAAGTCCACCTGGTGCAGATTCCGCATTTTGCCCTATTTTCCAGCAAAATGTTACTCAGGAGTTATACTTGGTGAAAGCAGAGAACTCTTCCTGGACTCAAAGCCCCTCTAGTCCCAATGATTTTCTGTATGACAGTCATTGTCATCATCAGCATCAATACTCTAACTCCTCGCCATCACCAGTATCTCCACTAGATAAAGATTCTGCACTCTCTTATTCTGATACACTTCTACAAATTGAAGACCTAGCACTCGTTGAAAGCACTCCATATATCGAACAAAATTCACCCATGTTGGCGAATCACATGGCTGGTTTTATTGAAGAAATTGTAGATGCCTACAAGGAACTACATACAATGTATAATGGGGTAAGAAAATCACATTTCATTTTTTACCTCTGTGTGAAGCGCATAATGAGTCTTTGCAGTTACCTTGTCTGTGTGTCTGTGTCAGCTTTTCTATAGACATCTCAAGAACGAATTATTGAATTTCAATAGTTTCCTGCACATTGCTTGAAACCTAATGAGTTTTGGATTGAGATTTATGCATACTTAATATAAAATTTGCATAATTAGCCAGTTTTCAACACGTTGCAGTAAAACTGGGGATAATAAGAAAGACCTACCAATAATTAAGTTAGTACAGTACCAGAAAAACTCAAAATCTTAGCTAACTTTGTTTCTTCTGTTATTGTTGGGGTCAAAGTCCCTTTGGATCCTTGAACACTGTTACCCACAGATTTCTGAAACTTTGCAAGCATATTGGGGACTATAAGAACTAGGAACATAACTTTCTGAATTGTGATTGGTCAACAGTTTTTATGGCATATACGTATACTACCATTTATGTACAAAAAATATAAGCAATGTAAACTTTGATGATCACATAACTTTGGTCACCATATTAGTTTTTCAGTGAAAAATAGCAAAAATGCTAAAACTGTTTTTCTACAGAATGGCTGGACTGTTTGACTTGACATAAGACATGTGTATATGTATTATAATAATTTGTTTCCAGCTGGGTAGAGTACAAAAATTATCAGTTGCATGACAATTAAGCTTTTCACCACCAGACTTTCTTGCCCAAACAATTCTGCACTTTTTTCTTATATTCTTCACTATTTTTGGAAATGAACACTAATTTTAGAGCCAACAGACAAAATTTGAGTCACTTTCAATTTTTTACTCAAAAAAATCGGCTATTTTTGTCCTAATCTTCTAAAGGAAAGTGCAGACTATAAAAAGGACTGTTTTGAAAATTTGTGATGAAAATAAGGAACTGGTGGTGAAAAGGTTAAAAGATATTCTGGGGGATATTCCAGAGAGGTGATTAGTACATATATGTATATGAAAAACATATATATTGAATACTTGTACCAAATTTGCATTAGGCATTTTCTGAAATGATATTACCAAAAAAAATGAGATGTAAAATAAACTTAAATTTGGTTTGGTGTGGTTCTCCATCAAATATCAATATATTCAACTTCCTTGAAACTATTATTTTTGACTTCTTCTCGATTCTGCTTTTTGAGAAGTCTTTGCCCTATACTGACTAAACAGCTGCTTTGTTTATTTATATGATAGACAGGCTGTCACAATTACCAAGGAAGTGACATTTGTCTTTTCACTCATTCCTTATCTTTTATTTCAGAAACCCAGACTTAAAAAACACATTGATGTTGTGAATGTTTCAAACTTGTGGGATAAACTGATGACATCATTCCAGAATAATGTACATTCATTATTGGCTTTTACAAAGAGGATACCAGGTAAGTGTTACATCGCAAAAGGAATTAGTGTGGAGAGTGTTGGAAAATGCTTTTAAGATTCTTGATAAAACTTGTATTATCTTATTTTCCATCTACTATTAATACACCATTTAAGAATTTTTTTCATTGAATTCAAGTTTAAATTGAAATTGGTGGAAGAGAGCAAAAAAAATGAACTACAAATGTTGGAGTAATACATACACTAACATGCAATTATCTAACAGATCCTTGATACAATATAACATTTATACGCAACAACATCGCTATTACCGGTAATATACATCATTTGATTGGCTTCTGTAGAAGTGTTTGCCGGCTTCATTTTTTTCTCTCTTGCTGTTCTTTCATTGTAGGCTTTCGTTCTCTGCATGTTGACGATCAGATCATCTTAATCCAATGTTCCATATGTCAAGTGTCTTTGACCGTATTAGCAGAAGACTTAATGAATACTGGTCGTGTATACAGTTGGTCCTTGGAAACAAAAGAAGAACTACAATTGTTAAAGGAGAAATTTGATCCCTTCAACATATTTCCGAGTCGTATTGCCCTAACTGCCGAAGAGTTCAAAGCAGTAGATCTGGATCCGACTGAAATCTCGTTGCTTACTGCATTACATGTAGTGTGTAAAGGTATCAGTCTTATTAACAATAATGTAGAGTTAGGGTGCAAGTATAATCCCAACAACCCTCCACCTGATGGTGATTAAAATAATCAAAGGCTGTTTAAGTTATATGTTTGTCTTTTAAAACATTGTTACTTGCTTGTATAATATATATATGAGGTAGAAATGTCTGACCTGGTTGTTGCTCTTTTTTTTCCTGTGGTTACAATAACTCAAAATGTTTTTGTCCAATATTTTTCAATTATTATATGCCAGATTGGAATCGGCCAAGTTCCATTTTTAGCTCCGCTGTCGACTTTGTCGAGCGGAGCTTATCATATGAGTGATTGTCCGTCGTCGTCGTCCGTCGTCGTC